GGGAGGAGAAATATGCAACACCCCGAGCTAAGACAGTGTCTAATTGGTCAAAACACCATTTGGGATGTGGCCAACAACCCGGTTTAAATACTCAGGACACCATCAGATGCTGCTTTTTGCGTCTAGCTTTTAGTTTTTCGCTTTTAGTTATGTGCTTTCAAGTCATCACTTTTAGCCATGTGGCTTTTTAGTCATAGCTTTGAGCCATGCTTTTTAGTCATCGCCTTTTTAGCTCTTTAGCTTTTTTGGTCATGGTTTCTAGCCGGGCTTTTCAGTCATTGCTTTTTGCGCTCTTTGAGCGTGCTCTGGCTTACACACCAGCTCCTCCAAAACCATGAGGAGAAACGCCACCTAGTCTCGTCAAACTTTACTTCTATTTCTTTACTTTAGTTTATTTTCTTTTCCGTTGAGAGTTTCGTGTTCTGAGTTAAGGATAGCAGAGCAGATCAGATCATTTAATCATGGGACAATCTGACTATATCATATTGATATTGTTGTTTGATTGCAGACTTTGGGATCTGAGCATAATTTGAGACTTTAGTGAAATCTGCACTTTGGTCATTTTTCCTCAGGAGTCTATATTTATGCTTATGCATTTTGCAAATACTTTCTTCCGAGCTAAACGTTTAATGATTATATTAATTAGTATGTGTTACCAGATAATCAAACCCACACCCTTGGTGTTGCAAGTATAATGCTCTACATTTGAGCTTCATTTCATATCATTGCCAGCTAGGAGAAACAACTGAAACAATCAAAAGCTACTGAAACAATAATTATTATTTTCTTTTCTACAATAATTTGCATTATATATGTGTATTATTTATACTTAGATTTTGTTATTTTGTATTTTTTAATTAAGAGTGCAAAACATACAACATACGGTGAACACAAAACACAAAAACAGCAATAGAACAGCAATGATAATAACAGCAATGAAAATAAACAGTGATGACCATCTGACAATAATAGTAGTAGTATTCAAGTAGTACTAGCATGCTGCATAATAATAATAATAATAATAATACTAAAGATGGTGATGATAGCAATAATACCCTGTGATGACGGCAACAGTAATATCAATAATAATAATAATGATGATGTAATAACAATAGTAATAATAATAATGTAATAATGACACATACCCAACACATACCACACCTATCCTAGCATCTGTCGAATCCGCCGGCCGCGCCGTTCTCAAGCCCACCGGCCTCCGCACACTCTAGGCCTCCATTCACTCAAGCCTGCCGTGTGTGATTTCATTACACCAAATACACAAAATAATATTCTTTTTAGCAACATCATATGACCTCTTTAATCTGAAGTGTTTTTAAGGGAGTTATAACTGATGGAATAGAAAACAATTTACTACAATATAGGTTCATGAAATAATGAATGACTTTTTACAGTCACTGTGCACAACCATTCAGAAGTCTCTAATGTGCACCAAGGCTGCATTTATTTGACCACAAATAATATTGTGAAATATTATTACAATTTAAAATAACTGTTCTATTTGCATGTATTTTAAAAAGTAATGTATTCCTGTGATGGCAAAGCGGTTTGTTCGTTCAGCATCATTACTCCAGTCTGAAAACAGCTGTGCTGCTTAATATTTTTATGATACTTGATACTTTTTTTTCTCCCGGGATTCTATAATAAACAAAAAGTTTAAAAAATAATTTATTTGAAATAGAAATCTTTAATGACAATTCATGGAAGCCTGTTTCTGCCACCGAATAAGAAATTAAAAAAGGCAATTGCGACTTTTTATCTCACAATTCAGACTTTTTTCTTGCAGTTCTGACTTCTTTTCTCAGAATTGTGAGATATAAATTTGCAATTGCAAGTTATAAAGACCAATTTAGAGGAAACAAATAACTGACTATAACTCACAATTGCATGTTATAAAGTCAGAATTGTAAGATATAAAATGTATTCATTTATATCTCGCAATTCTGATTTTTTTCTCACAATTGCGACTTTATATCATGCAATTCTTTATAACTCGCAACTGCGAGTTTATATCTCTGAATTCTGAGAAAAAAATTCTAAATTTATTTTTTATTCAATGGCGGAAACAACTTGCGTAACAATTAAACGTGTCCTTTCTCTATTAAAGTATTATTACTTTAAATAATAAATAAAACTCCAAACTTTTAAACAGCAATGTAGGTTACAACAAATTTGTTTTGACACGTTGGCAACACTTTGATACATTTGTAAGGAAATGATACAAATGTATCAAAGATACAAAGTGTTACTATTGTCCTCTTTTTAGAGCTGCTTTACGGCAGAATTTGCATCATTGAAACATTATTTTGCTGTGTAAGACTGTAAAGCTGCTTTGACACCACTAATTACTTAAATTAAATGTAACAAATTTGGTTGCCATGGTGATAATTACCACATTCTTGTAGAAGAAATAGATGACCATGTTGGCCAGTCTTGAGTAGCACCAGTGTCCGTGAACCAGCAGCAGTCTTTGCAGGTGTTTGAAGCGCGTGATGGCAAAATCACTGGCCATGACAGCCTGCAGAACACAAACACAACTCAGCATGAAATCAGCATTACTGGTTACACTCATTCTTTATGGTTTCGATAGTCCACTTCAGACATTCTACTAATGATAAGTACTTTTGCAAATACATGTTGACTGACTCTCATTACAGTATTAGACTGTTAGGTTAGGGTTAGGGTTAGTAGCCAGTGCTGGGTAGTAACTGATTACATATAATCTGGATTATGTAATCAGATTCCAAAATATTAAGTACTTGTAAATGCTCATGCTCATTTAATCTCATATTGCTACAGCTTTATTTTTGTAATTTTGACTTCATTCTCAAATTATTACGACTTTAATCTCATATTGCTATGACTTTATTCTCATAATTTTGACTTTATTCTCAATATATTACGAATTTAATCTCATATGATTTATTTGTGCACATCATTAATTATATATATATATATATATATATATATATATATATATATACTTTTTTGTTGTTTGTTCTGTTTTGTTTTTTCTTCTTTTTTCAGAATTCTTTGATAATTAGAAAGTTAA